TCTCGCCACGATCTCATGGTGTCCCCGGAGATGAGAGGCCCGATCCTGGATCTTGGCACCAGTAGGGTCTTGATATATCGGGTGGTAGATTATGGGGGACATACTACTTGATAAATAAAAACGCACGCCAACACCGTGCGCTGGGCCTTGAATTCTCTCCATGCACAGTGCTATCCATCCCGGACACAATGCCTCCTCTCCTAGAAGCGCCCAGGAATGGGGGCGCAGTCAACAACGGCGTTCTTAGCGGGGTATCGCATTCTCAGAGCTTTGGCATTGACACAGAAAGTCACTTGGATGACCCGAACAGACGCCAACGGATAGTGGTGGTGGGACTGGGGATGGTGGCTATTTCCTTCCTGTAGGTGCATCGAAGGGGGACGAGATGATGGCCAACAATGCAGGTCGGGTACTAACGATACATCCCCTCTGCGTACAGTGAGAAATTGGTCAAGCAAGATTCAGAGAGGAGAAAATACGATATCGTTGTTATCGGGGAAGAGCCTCACGTTGCTTACAACCGAGTCGGTCTTTCCTCGTTTTTCGAACATCGCAATATCGAAGACCTCTACCTCAACCCGAAAGAGTGGGTAAGTATACCACAGGTTCCCCGCGAACTCAGTGCAACATCCGTTCTGACGTCGATGTATGAATGTAATAGTACGGATCATTCAAAGACCGATCGTTCGACTATCATCTCAACACCAGAGTGACCGATATATTTCCTGACCACAAGACGGTGAAAACCTCGACTGGTGACATAATTGCCTACGATCTTCTTGTTCTCGCTACCGGCTCTGATGCAGTACTTCCCACGCACACTCCCGGCCATGATGCCACCGGGGTTTTTGTCTACAGAACGATATCGGACCTCGAGCGCCTTATCGAATTTGCCTCTAAACACAAGGGCGAGACGGCAACTACTGTCGGAGGTGGCCTGCTAGGACTAGAAGCTGCCAAAGCAATGACAGATCTAGAAGATTTCGGCAAGGTCACGCTCATTGATCGCAATAAGTGGGTGCTGGCAAGGCAACTAGATGGCGATGCCGGTACCCTAGTGACGCGGAAAATCAGAGAACTGGGCTTGGATGTGATGCACCAGAAGCGAGTAGCCAAGATTAAGACGGACGACAACAACAATGTCACGGGTATCGTCTTTGAGGATGGTGAAGAAATAGATTGCTGCTGCGTCTGTTTTGCTGTACGCTGTCTAATTTCATCTCATGCACTTTCAATTTGCTAACATTACGCATAGATCGGAGTACGACCTAGAGATGAATTAGGGGCATCTGCTGGTATTCAGTGCGCTTCGCGGGGTGGGTTTGTTATTAATGAAAGGTAAGAACTGTCGTTGTTTGTTTCGAGTCTTCTATCATCTAATCCGAATCTATAGTCTACGAACTTCCATTCCCGAGATTTACGCTATCGGAGAGTGTGCAAGCTGGGAAAACCAGACGTTTGGTATTATTGCACCTGGCATTGAAATGGCAGATGTGCTAGCGTTCAATTTAACCAATTCCGACAAGGAACCGAGGAGCTTCAGACGACCAGATTTAAGTACTAAGCTGAAGCTCTTGGGGGTGGATGTCGCCAGTTTTGGTGACTTCTTTGCGGATCGTGATGGGCCCAAGTTCCTGCCCGGCCGTCGACCATCAGTCGCAACCGTTCCGCGGGTCAAAGACACGACGGAAAAGGAGTCACCAGTGAAGGCTCTTACGTACAAAGACCCTTTTGGTGGTGTCTATAAGAAGTATTTATTCACTATGGACGGCAAATACCTACTTGGAGGAATGATGATCGGTGATACAAAGGACTATATCAAATTGAACCAAATGGTAAAGAGCCAGAAAGAGCTCGAAGTGCCTCCGAGCCAGTTCATCTTGGGAGCCCAGAACGGTGGAGAAGAAAACGGTGATGACTTGTGAGTTTTCTCTCAAGTGTCTGGATTTAATGGATCTTCTGACCATCGTTTGTACAGAGCCGACGATACCCAAGTGTGCTCATGTCACAATGTTACCAAAGGTGACGTCGTCGAAAGTGTCAAGAGTGGCACATGCAAATCAATTGGCGAGGTCAAATCATGCACGAAGGCAGGCACTGGTTGTGGAGGCTGCATGCCGCTGGTGCAATCTATTTTCAATAAGACCATGCTTGATATGGGTCAGGAAGTTTCGAACAACTGTAGGTATTCTTGTCCGTCCGCTGTGGTCTTACTCTAAACTCTATACAGTATGCGTGCATATTCCACATTCACGCGCTGATCTCTACAATATCGTCGCAATCAAACAATTGAAAAAATTCGAAGACATCATGAAGGCAGTCGGAAGAAACCCCGATTCTCTTGGATGCGAGCTGTGCAAGCCTGCTATAGCGTCAATCCTTTCAAGTCTCTTCAATGGGCATATCATGGACCACGAATACCATGAATTACAAGAAACGAATGACAGATTCCTCGCTAACATCCAACGCAACGGAACTTTCTCTGTAGTCCCTCGAGTTCCCGGCGGTGAAATCACTGCAGACAAGCTGATCACTATCGGCCAGGTGGCCAAGAAATATAACCTTTACTGCAAGATCACGGGTGGCCAGCGTATCGACATGTTTGGTGCCAAGAAACAGGATTTGCTTGATATATGGGCAGAATTAGTCAATGCTGGCATGGAAAGTGGCCACGCTTATGCCAAATCACTCCGGACAATCAAGGTACGTGGATATCACCTGATTTGATGTACATGGAGCTAACTGGAACCCCTAGAGCTGCGTCGGCACTACCTGGTGTCGCTTTGGTATTGGAGACAGTGTTGGGATGGCCATCAGACTCGAGGAACGCTACAAAAGTGTCCGATCTCCTCATAAGCTCAAGGGTGCCGTGTCCGGTTGTGTGAGAGAATGTGCTGAGGCGCAAAACAAAGAGTATGCCTGCCTCTTTCGAAATGTTTTGTTCCGAAACTAACGCATTTTAGCTTTGGCTTGATCTCTACAGAAAAAGGCTTCAATATCTTCGTAGGCGGAAATGGGGGCGCGAAGCCTAGACATTCAGAATTACTCGCCAAGGATGTGCCACCAGATATGGTCATTCCAATTATTGATCGCTATCTCATTTTCTACATTCGAACAGCAGATAAACTGCAACGAACTGCTCGGTGGATCGAGAACCTCCCAGGTGGAATCAATTACCTCCGGGAAGTCGTCATTGACGACAAACTGGGAATCTGCGCTGAGATGGAGCAGCAAATGCAGGAGTTGGTAGACAGCTACTTCTGCGAGTGGACCGAGACTATCCGCAATCCAAAGCGCCGCAAGTACTTCCAGCAATTTGCCAACACCGATGAGACGGTTGACACGGTGGAACTTGTGAAAGAACGTGAGCAGGAGCGGCCTACCTACTGGCCAAGCGAGGGTGCAAAGGAGGACTTTAAGGAGCACCAGTGGTCGGCTCTCTCATGGCAGCCAATCATTAAAGCTGACCACTTTTCGGATGGACCACCTGCGATCTCTTCGGCCAATGTCAAGCGGGGCGATACCCAGCTGGCAATCTTCAAGGTCAAGGGCAAGTACTACGCAACGCAACAGATGTGTCCTCACAAGCGTGCCTTTGTCCTATCTGATGGCCTGATTGGCGACGATGACGCCGGTAAATACTGGGTGTCCTGTCCATACCACAAGCGTAATTTCGAACTCAATGGCGAGCAAGCCGGCCGTTGTTCAAACGATGAGGCTATGAATATCGCAACTTTCCCGGTTGAACAACGGGACGATGGCTGGATCTACTTGAAGCTACCTCCCGTCGAGGAGCTGGACTCGGTGCTAGGAACTGAACGATGGAAGGTAAAGAAAGGAGAAGCACCCGACCCATTCCAGAAGTGTGATAAGAAATATAAGGGGACTAGAGGCAAGAAGGCGGGTGATAGACCTAGTCCAAGCAAACAATCTAGGACGATTGACTGGTAATGGAACCGATGTGATACGCGTTACGAGCCTTGATATTTGGCGTTGTGGATCTTTCTGGGAGGGCCTTCATCTGGTTTTCTTTATTTACTGTATATAAACTCCACTAGCTAGTAGCTAATTCATGAACTATGAGCTGCCAATTACCTCTTTCAAGTCTCAATGAGACAGTCTTACTAGATCTGATTCTGACCAAGAATGTATGACCATCATCACAACTGTTCATCTGAACTATCCTGCCAATACAGAAATACCTACTAGTAGTCTATAGACGATACATTTGGAGGTATAGCCAAGAAAGGCATCAAAGGATCTCCTACCTTAGGGCAGGCAGCGTCACGTTACCGACCAACTTTCTGGCCGCCTCTCCGTCCAATCCCATTTGACGGATTTCATTCTTGACGCTTATCTCCCAGACGTGAGATAGCGGTGGACCCGACCCAAATCTCTCATTATCTATACTCATTAGTATTCGGGACCCATAGACGATCCTTCACAGCCCCATCGGATGCTTTAAGAAGTGGGCTCTTCCCTTGACATCTCCGCGGATCTCGATCGAGTATGTCTCGCTTTTCTCGTGCTCTTCGTTGTCTCGGTCCGGGAAGATTAGGGACATGAACGTTAACCCAAACTTCATGTGGCGCTTATTCTGAGTCTCAGCATCCATCGGTATCCAATGAGAAACGCTTGGTTTATCAATTGAAAGGGAATCTCGCCCGGTGTCGATCTTGGTCCACGCTCCTTCGCCTTCTGGGTCCCATGGTCTGCGTCCGAGGGTGATACATGGCACCCAGACCTGAAGGCCGCGGAGTTGTTGCAGGACAGAGAGGGTCTTATCGGCCTGGTGCTGTTAGTCAAGGGCTGAATGCCGGCAGATATCCCCCGGATGGCCTTATCTACGCTGACCAAACATGATTTTCCTATTAGCCACACCCGTTAGAGCTGGGAAGCCCAGTCCCATCCAACCCTTTCTCTTGTCCACATCGAGACCCTGGACAGAGCCATGAGAATCGTCCAATCAAAACTCCAGGATATACTTACTTGTGTGACTCCATGATGTCCTATCTATCAACCTTACGATTAATGACCAGGCGTTGTCATATTACAATAATATCTAATCTATTGTTTCTACTGTCAGTGGCATGCCATGCAGCAGAGTTTATGCCTTCAGAAAGTTAATTATTCTTGGACATCCAAGATCTACGGAAATCAAATATTATATGCTATTCTTGCTTTTGTTTACACCTGCCAGTATCTGTCAAAGAGTTTATATATGAGGTCTAATTCTCTGTCTAGAGCTTTCCAAATCACATCTCCACTTGTTAACACACCCTGGTGGTGATATTGATACCCTACACTTATAGTTATTGATATTCAGTACAATCATTCTATCTCTTGTCCTTTAGTTACATTCCACTGCGGCTGCTAGCTCGGAGATGGATTCCATTAAACTACTCTTCCTCTCTCCGGAGGTCAACCCAAGTAACCGAAAGGCCAGGTCAATCCCGATACTCAACCCATTCGACAAATATGGACGTGTCTACTTCTTTTCATGGCTTGGTTTCATGGTGGCATTCCTATCGTGGTATGCTTTTCCGCCTCTGGTAAGTTCTCCCTATATTCGGTGCCTAACAATGAATGAGATAGGAGTCTAACGGTCTGTAGTTGACGGTCACGATCCGCCAAGACTTGAAGATGACGCAGACCGAAGTTGCCAACTCGAACATTGTTGCGCTTTTAGCGACGTAAGATATCCGCGCCTGAATGGATCCAACACTCTAGCTGACCCTCTCAGGTTACTCGTTCGATTCGTCGCAGGGCCGCTCTGCGACCGGTTTGGTCCTCGTCTAGTATTCATTGGCCTCCTACTGTGCGGGTCCATTCCAACTGTGATGGCTGGGCTTGTCACCAATGCTCAGGGACTGATCGCCTTACGCTTCTTTGTCGGCATCCTGGGAGGCACATTCGTTCCTTGCCAGGTCTGGTGTACTGGGTTCTTTGACAAGAAGATCGTCGGAACCGCCAACTCCCTGGCTGCAGGATGGGGAAATGCCGGCGGCGGCATCACGTAGTTTGTACTCCTTCTCGCATACGAAGCCCACCAACAACCGACTAATAAGTTTTGTTACTCACCAGCTTCGTCATGCCCGCCGTCTTCGACTCACTCGTCCACAACCAAGGCCTCCCATCTCACAAAGCCTGGCGAGTAGCTTACATCGTGCCTTTTATCATCATTGTCGTCATAGCCGTCGCAATGCTTTTCACCTGCGAAGACACCCCAACAGGGAAATGGTCCGAACGCCACCTCTGGGCCGAAGAAACCAGCAGATTCGACGGCAATATCGTCAATATCAACTCTGGCATCTCATCCAGCCAGCCATCCAGCCCACCATCCATAACCAACATCGTCGCCGACATCGAAAAGAAAGGCAACCCTTCCCCACCCGAGTCCATAGCTCCAATGTCGGGCCAGCTCGAATCCCTCCGCACCGACACCGTCGTAGCCCCAACCTTCAAAGAAGCCATGAATGTCCTCCTCAGCCTCTCCACCGCCGCCGTCGCAATCCCCTACGCCTGCTCTTTCGGTGCAGAACTCGCTATCAACTCCATCCTCGGTGAATTCTACGCCGAAAACTTCCCCTACATGGGTCAAACCCGGACAGGCCAGTGGGCCGCCATGTTCGGCCTTCTCAACGTGGTCTGCCGCCCCGCCGGCGGCTTCATCGCAGATCTCCTCTACCAGCACACGCAGTCCGTCTGGTCCAAGAAGATCCTCCTCTCCTTCCTAGGCGTCGCAATGGGCGCCTTCCAGCTCGCGCTCGGATTCTCCGATCCAAAAAGCGAAGCTACCATGTTCGGACTCACAGCCGGCCTGGCTTTCTTCCTGGAGGCGTGTAACGGTGCTAACTTCGCCGTTGTACCGCACGTTCATCCCTTTGCTAACGGTATGCTTTCCCCATTGGCCTCCACCAATAGAACCAAAAAACTAACAATGAAATAAAGGCATCGTCTCCGGCGCAGTAGGCGGAATGGGTAACCTCGGAGGTATCATCTTCGCTATCATATTCCGGTACAACGGCGCGCACTACGCGCGCTCGCTCTGGATAATCGGGATCATTGCCATCGCGGCCAACCTGGCTGTTGCTTGGATTCGGCCGGTGCCGAGACGTCAGACGGTATGATTTTGTTTCTAAGTTTCTTTCTAGATATGAGTTATGAAGATATATATGGCAGTAATTTTTTTTTTCGGGAATACCTGGCGCCCTGTATGTATCTATTTGAGTTGGATAATGGCGTTATACAAATATTGATATTGATATAATACTAGTTAAATAAATTAAGTTTTGTTGAACTATATGCTATACATACTTTTAATACAGTTCTCTAGTTCCACTGGTATGTATGTAGTATAGCATACTTTAGTGTGGTATGGTATAAGTATAAGTGTAGTGATGTAGTCTATAAATCTCGGGGTAAAACCCCCCGAGAGTGGATTCCAATGCATCAATCAAAAACATGTATATTGTATCAATAAACCGAGGGTCCGGGTTTATGACACTTATAATATCATCTTCTCCCTTCTTTCACTTGGATCCAATTACCACAATTCAGCCACACTACTACTAGTACACATAGAACCCATAACCAAAGTGAGTCCCTTACTCTTTCACCACGACTTATCACCCAACAACACCAATCCAAACTGACCCATATAAAACCAGGCCACACACACACACACACACACACACACACACACACACACACACACACACCCCAACTATAACCCGAGTTAAAACATCTACGTTACACTTTCATAAAAAGGAAAAATGCCTGTCCGCCGAATCGCCCAAATAGTCCACCTCAAGCCATCCGCCCTGGCGGCCTACAAAGAATGCCACGCGAATGTGTGGCCCGAAGTACTCCAGCAGATTAAGGAGTGTAATATCCGGGATTGTATGTGACTGCAGTAGTCTCTTTATGATTTATTTTTTTTATTTTGATTTTTAAAAAATGGTGATTGTGGCTAATGGGTTTTCTTTGTATAGATTCTATCTTCTATGATAATGATCGGACTTTGTTCGCGACGTTTAAATATGTCGGGGATGATTTTGAGGGCGATATGGAGAAGATGAAGGCTAATCCTAAGGTGAGGGAGTGGTGGACAATGACGGATGGTATGCAAGAGAGTCCGACTCCTGGGGCTTATGGGAGTGCTGAGGGACCTTCGTGGTGGAAGCCATTGGAGGAGGTTTTCTACACGGATTAAAGTAATTTAATTTAAATGCTACTATGATGCACGGCCCGAAATGAATACATGATAGAAAAAAAATATTTATTTCCATCGGCGGGACAAAGTCGACCGCTTCTAGAGCCGAGATTAATTAAGCCAACACCAGACGCACAAGATTCGTAGCTAGATATTTCCAAAGATTACCAGATAATGACCAGCAAATCCGAACACCCCAAGAAATTATCTATACAGACTCCGTATCCTTGCCGGCATATGCTCCAAATGCTATGATACAGGAACGAGTAAGAATGATATGAAGGGTATCAGCACTAGGAAATTCCGTCGCCGCCCAAGAGCCGCTCCAAAACGCCCTGTCAAGAGAACAAAAGGATATGGAAAGGAAATTGTCGTAGCTCGTTAAGTAGAAACCGGAACATAACTGACCAGATAGTCAGCTACTCCCCAGGGGCAGGGCCGCCGGGTACATCCTTCAGGATCTCCCATCCGTACTCATCCTCTGGTCTCTCCGGCTCCATACCAAGAGCGTTGCGGTAGGCACGGACTTCATTCTGGAGCCCAGCCACGACGCGGACTGGGACATTCTCTTCCTCGCAACGAATACGATAGGCATTACGAATCATCTCCGCACATTTCATGGTTTGGTTATGCCAATGATCACGCTCCAGGCGGCTCTGTAGATGCGCATCCCGTTCGTTTTGGAGAAGATTGTTGTAGTGCCGCTTCTGCGCCAGATACTGCAAGTTGTTGTTCTGGCAGTAGTTACGGATCTGTTCGACCATTGTACCAACTGCCTGTTCGTATTCTCCGATAAGCTTTGTGTTTTCCACTTGTTCGTTTCGCAAGACCTCGTTCAGACGCTTTTCTCTGGCCAGGGCGCGCTCCAGTTCTGTTATACGGGCAGCTGCAGGTTTCGTCAGTGGCTGAGACGCGCAAATATGGAGGTGGGGACTTAAGATCCTTACCAGAGATCTCACCATTGACTTGTTGTAAGTTTGGAGAGGTGCCTTCTGAAGCAGAGCGTCGCTAGATGATCGTTAGCTGAGTGTCACGTAAATTACAACGCAACTAAGGTTGGCGCTAGACATACCATGACCTCCTCGGCGCTGGAGACGATACTCTGTGTCATCTGGCGATTGTTCTTCAACACCTCGCTCAGCTCCAGAACCATGTCGTACAGATGATGGAGATCCATCTGGTGGCCCGCATTCAGAGGCATCCCCGCATTCATGCCAGCGATCCCAGCACCATTGACCTGACTAGGAGTGTGAGACATAGCGGGAGACATTGACTGACGAGGTACGTTGGTCATATTGGATTGGTTACCCGTGTTGTCGACGCCGCTCGAGAAGGAACCAGAGTCGGAGGTAGTGCCACTATTCATGGACCGTGCGACAGCTTCAAAGTCGCGGTTTAGACTCTCCAACTGAGGGTCAATGGAGGGGTCAACCGCGGGCAAGGAAGCTTCGTCGTCGAATCCAAAGCCAGGGGTGTCGATGCCTAAGACGTCCTTCCGGAAGCGCTCCAAGTCCAGACGAGTTACGTGAGTGGAACGCCGACGGTGGCCAGGCACGAAAGGTCGCCTAGCGGGAGTCCCCGAGGTAGTTTCGCCAATGATGATAGGCTGGTCAGGGGCAACAATAGACTCGGTAACAATAGTAGGAGAATGTGCCACAGAGACAGGAAGAAGAAATCGTACTGTACGAGAAGGAGTGGTGGTGGTGGTGGTGGCGGTGGTAGTAGTAGTAGTAGTAGTAGTAGTAGTAGTAGTAGTGGTTGTTGTTGTAGTGGTAGTTTGTTCAGCATGTTCAGCAGTGTCACCTCCGCTATCACTGAATTGGTCAAGCACCGGACTTTCGGAAGCAGAATTCCGATCTTCCGGATCTCTATCCAAGGCGGTCAGCATTCTGCTATCCTGCATCTTGGGAGCCTGTGATCCCAATCGATGATCCATCAAAATCTTAAGAACAAGGGGGAGGAATGAAGGTCAGTCGTAATAGCAGTGTGAATGTGTTGGAGGTGTGTGAATATGAACAAAAATATTTGGAGCAGTGCAGCCAAGCCGGTAGGGAGTCCCTTTGCTTTTCTTCCTCGGTGTTTGACCTTCACTGGCACCTTCTGTGACTGGTGCAGCTGCAGTGATTTTCTGACAATGACCTTCCATCCCTTGCACTACTTTGAAGAAAGCAATGGGCCCTGTTAAATTTAGGATCGCGCTTTCTCATTTGGAGGTTGAGGAAGCTTACTACTACATAATAAGATTGAGATCAACTGATGATGTCGGCATTCCACACATTTACATTTACATTTACATTTATACTTACATCTACATAAATCTAGAGTCATAATTACACGGCTTTTGCCCCGTAAATTTCATTATTCTTCTTTCACATTCTTAAAATTATTTCGATTTTTGTATTTTGCTTTTCCTTTCTTTTTCTTCTTTTTCCTCGTTTCCTTTCAGCCTTTATGACATTGTATTTTCCTCCTTATGTTTTATCATGTTCAATCACATTCCTTACCCAGTCATATCAAGGAGGGCTTCCAGCTTTTGGTCCGAGTCCAATCGATACGAAGCCGGATCTTCTTGACTATCACCACGCTTCTTGCTATGCTGGATGCGACCTCCCACCCTCGCAACGAGCATCCTCATCTTCTCTAATTCCTGCACTAACTCACCATCCCGAGTAATAAGGTTTGGTTGAATATTTTGCTGCGGTTCCTGAAACGGTTTTAAAAGGTGTTGTAACCGGCGTAGCTGTTCCAGACGCCGTCGTCGCTGCTGTCGCTGGTTGTCGAGAGTGACCAGGCGTTCTCGTAACTTCTGATACCTGTAACCAGCTCCTGTCAGCCGGATGAAACCCAGATCACCACATTGTAGACCCAACCTGAGACGTTCTTCCTCGCTTGCGGACTGGTCTTCGAGTTCCATGGGGAGCTGTGTAAGGTTCCTGATACGCATCAATTCATAAGCAGGGGTTCTTGCGGCCGTAAGGGAGGGGGTTTCAAGCGAGTCGTGACTCACAAGTGGTTAGACAAATCGACCGTCTTCTCGATGCCTCTCTCGAATGAATGCTGGTCACGTATCGCATCGTTCACGGACGTCCAATAGAGGCTGGCGACTTGCTGTGCGACATGTTGGATTGCTTGGGAGGAGTATACTATGCGATTATGCTGCTTCAATGCGCTATTTACTATAGTCCAGTCAGCGAGGAATAAAGACGGCTAGATTATTGCAGAGTCCCAAATGTAGTCAATCGCATAGGACCACAACCGTAGCCAAGTAGGTATTCCACGAACCGTACATTTCTGTAGGACATCGCTGACCACCTTATCGCTCAGGTCATCCTCCTCCGAGGCAGCGGCATAGCTTCTCCAATCCTCGGGTGCATCAAGGCTTTCGGACAGGATACGCACCTGCGCCCGGATGAAGGAGGACTTCAGTTCGGAAATGGTACGCGTTGAGTCCATCTCCCCATCGCGCCGACTTTCATTGTCCGTCGCAGTCGCGATCGCTTGACGCTAACAATGTGCTATCTATCGATAACAGATCACGTGCCATCATACTAGTATGGAGTAGGTAAGGGGGGTGGTAGTGCAGTCATAACATCAATACCATTACTATTCTTATACACGGGGTATTTCCCCCTTGCCTTCAATAACGACCGTAATGCACCTCAATGGCTGAGACAAAGGAATGGAGCAATCAAAACTTCAAGACATGTTGTCAAAGCATACCTAAACAATAGCGCCTTCTCCAAGAATTGGCCGTGATGGGTGGTTTATATAATAAATGAAAACAGTACAGCCCGGGCATTCTACAAAATACTATACAGAGTAGACAAGATTACACGACCCAAAGATAAAAAATCTCAAAAGAATAAAAATTACATACAACAGGAGGGATTCGCTGGTGGTCACCCACCCAACTACTAACCTCCCGGCGTGTGGCTTAAGTACGGCTGAGCGGACGGGAAGCCCTGTTCTCCACACCCTGTGGTCGTATGTACTGGAAACAGCCGATCAAAGAAATATGTGGACTAATTGTCTATCTTTGCTGATAGAATCAGCGTGAGACTCCCCAGTTATCGAGCCTCTTCCCACTTCACTTGAAGATTTACTTTTCATTGAAGTGACAAGATATCGTAAGTAGACTGCAAAGATCATATTTCGGAACCGATCTTTCTTGAGTCCCATTCTAGACCTTGAAATTGATGGAAACTACCGCAGTTCTTTGCATTCTAGTTCTATCCTCCCATCCCACTAATGATAGGATGTTGAATTGATCGACACAATTGGCCAAAAAATGACGTCACTATCGGACCATCTTCGGTGTGATTTTTTGAGTCTTGTGACACATGCGACCGCGCGTTTGGAACATACCCCACGGGGCACTGTGTAAGTAGTCTCTTGGATTTCGTCTGTACAGATTTTCAACTGGTCGTCGAGGCGGTGGACTACGTTGCGGACAAGCACCCTATTGTCCTGTGTCAAAGACATAATACATAATAGTCCTTTTTTACTTCAATCCTTTGTCGATATCACCAGATGACATGTGAATGTGGACACAGCCTAGAAAGCCTCTCGCAAGAATGTCGTTATCTGACTTGGCTTGTCAATCATGTCGCAAGTAAGTGTTACTCTATGTTCTCAAGACTAGGAGAGAACGGGGCTTATGTGCTGATGACTAGGCGTAAGGTCAAGTGGTACGTGAAAACTTGAACCAAGTCTTTCCAAAGTGTGTGTGAAGTAACAGCTGTCAGCGACCGGGCATTGCCGCGGTGTATGGTCTGTGATCAAACAGGCCAGACATGCAATTATCCGCTTCGGTCAATGAAACCCGGGCCTAAAATCGGTATGGAATGGCCACATTTTGCCATAAGCCGTGACACGTTGGAGGCACATTGACAAGATCTAGGGTCCTCGCAGAAGAAGAGAAAACGCCTACGACAGAATGAGACAGCCCAGAAACGACAGATTAACTCGCATTCTAGACCGCCACCTGGTCCTGACAATGGCCGACGGGATAGTTATTTCGATGCATTGAACGATCAGCCGGAGAAAGAAGAGTTGGCCCTCGCCGTCCCCGCCGATCTTACTGAGACCACTGGGATTGAGGCGCGGGGAAGCTCGCAACACCGAACCTCTCAGTTGAATACGCTTGATCTCGCTTTCATTTTACATCCATCACACGAGGTCACAACTCCCTCCCAAAAGCAGAGCCCGAGCTCTCAGGACGGTCAGCAGACAGATCTCTGCCGTCAAGCCTGCACAGAGCTAGGCGTCTCGCAAGCTTTCATGAATAAAATGTAACGACCTCGGCTACCTAAAGAGTTGTCGAAGTGGAACATAGACAAGCTAATTGCACCAACAGCATTCGAGTTTTTTTCGACAACATGGTCGCTATCAATATCTTTCATGAGCCTTCGTTTGTAGAAAAGCTTTCGAATATCTCTTCGTTTTCTCAATTGACTGCCCTTCTGGCAGCCATAGCTGGTTATGCCTCACGTTTTGGTGCGCTAAGAACCAACGACGTAGCTAGCGACGCAGTGCAGCTCGTAGCAAAAAGTCACCGACAGCCTGCATACTTCATTGACCTTGCTTTCAAGTACATAAACGAGGCGCTCGCGGAGTGTGGCGATGAGATGCCGCCACTTTGCGTTATACAGGCTCTCATTATTGCAACGCATTGTCGACTGACCCAGGGAGTCCGCGGAAAGGCGTGGAGATCTCTGGGATTGTGTGTCAGTTTGATATACGAAACAAACCTGCATCTTCTTGATTCTAGGAAAGTTATAAAAATGGAGGATCCCCACCACTGGCAAGAAGATGAAGAAAAGCGTCGTGCATTTTGGGCCATCTGGGAAATGGATGTTTTTGCCAGTACTATCCGTCGGACGCCAACTACCATTAACTGGAACCAGATGGAAATATTGCTTCCAGTTGACAACGCTCACTGGTTCTCAGGCCACCCTACTTCAAGCTGCTTTATGGAGACGGACATAAACAAACGTTGGAAGGCGTTGCAGGACAGTGGTAATCAGTCATCGAAAGCGTGGTTCCTCGTTATCAATTCTCTGATGAAGAACGCCCAGGTCACCTGTGACCCACAAGGAGTGTCTGCCATAGGTAATCAGGGCTATCACCAGCAAATGCCAAATAGCCAGACTTCAACCCTCGAATCGGCCATGGAGGCTCGTCAAAAATTGGAGACATTGACAAACGCCGTACGCTGCTTTACTTTGGCTTTGCCCAGCCATCTCCAGTATCGCGATCAATATCTGGCCTTTGGGGCGCCGGTACAAGGGGAGTTAGAATCTCAACGACAGCAGCACTGCTCTATCTACAATATCTTCGTCATGACCCAATTAGCTCGTTTGATGATCTACAGATATGACGCATTCAGATCTCAAAATCGTCCAACTGAAACCAGTGGCCGTCATCTTTCCGGAAATTCGGCTGGTCGAAGTACTTTTAGTCTGCTCGATACAGAAAATGGAGCGCTTCGACAGTATTACGAGGCAGCAGATCGTATTCTAGGAATAGTGAACCGGAGTTGCGAGGATCATGTTCAGCATATTAATCCATTTCTACCTAGCACCATCTGGCTTGCCTCGGCGGTGCAACTGGTCCGCAAACATTTTGCTCAAGCACAGTCCAATCGAGATCTAGTAAAGTCGCGCTTCGACGTTCTTTATCTGACCTACAAGCGATGCGTTCAATTTTGGGATATTCAAACCGCTCTCCAGAAGAACCTAGAGTTGATCGAGGAGCAACTGGAAGCCAGGAACAAGAAACCGGCAGTTCAAGCTTGTCCATCCTCTCAAGAAGCGTCAAAGCGGGCATCGGAAGACACCGATAGAATCAACCAGCCTGCCTCGGACCAAGAAGGTCACAACGTAGAGCGCAGCCTGAATTTTGACTGGACAGCCCGACAAGTCTCTCAATACCTACCCGAAACACCCAGTGTCCCACTCACCAGTTCAGCCCCGATTGATGCCAGATTAGACATTACATCCCAAAACCATGCGCGAAAGCACCCATTCGTAGCAGATAACATGGCAATGCTCGACTATATGACTCCTCCACAACCGAGTAGGAACCAGGTTCCAGAGGGCTACATGGTGCCCCCGAACTCTCATTTCCTTGATACAGTATATCAGCTCGATCAGGCCTTTGATTGGCCCACTTTTGATTTTCCTGGTGGAATATATGATTTACTTTCAGGGTGAACTACGTCCCCTTGCACTCTTACCATTGTTGGATGGATTTATCCTCCCACTATTTTTTCCACAATTGGCCACTCCATCCCTCCTGACAAAGCAGCAGGGCCTGGCCAGCTTGTGATGCGGTATTGCAACCCTCTGCTTCTTCTCCGACATCCATATATTGCTTTTGCTAGAGACTTAGCCCTCTGTAATCTACCTGGGTACCCTATGGGTCCTGGGCGTAGCACGAATTTATCGTCTATGGATTTTCTGTAGACCCCGCTCCACTTAAGGCTTGTAATGTTTCAAATACCGCCTAGGTGCGAATTGGAATGGGGTATAGTCTATAGCAAAATACAGAGTGACGTATCCCACCCCTAGCCAGCGAAGACAAAGGATGATCTATCTCTAGTTCGTATTCCAATGTCCCAAAACCAAAGTAACAGCGAGAAACCATTTCCCTATAAAAAGTATCCAATGTCCCTACTTGCTCGTTCCTCTTCTGCTCTAAGCAACTGACCGAAGATAGTCCGTGCGGGATCGGGATAATTTCGCTCGAGTCCGTGAACCCCCGTTAGAAAGCAAGATCACACCAGAACCCCCTGGGCTTTTTGTGGGGGAGGGCCGGGGTATTTAGAAAAGGGAAATACCACTTGGAGAGTTTCTATCTGAAACAACAATCTACCGAAGACAACTCGCGAAAATGGCAGCCTCAGGCAATGAATCTCGAATTACCCTCACTCGCATTGCACATGTCTTCTACACCCATAAAGAAATCGACAAAGCCCATCAATTCCTACTGGATTTCGGATTCCAGGAAATCAAGCGTGTGGGCGATGATATCTATTACCGTGGCACCAGTTCGGAGCCATTTGTGTACTGTGCGCGACAAGGCGAAAAAGACGGGTTTGGAGGTGCAGCCTTTGTCGTGGAATCCGAATCTGATCTTTTTGCTGCGACAAAGTTACCTGGGGCGACAGAGATCTACGACTTGAAAGATGCGCCAGGTGGTGGTCGCTGCGTCACTTTCCATGACCCCATCGACAAGTTCCCATTTCATCTTGTTCATGGACAAAAGGCCCATGCCGATGAGAAGGTGCTTCCACAACTTGATTACAATTTCGTAAGTTAATCTCCTTGGTATATATAACTTACTCCTCAGAAACCCTCTGACCTTCCCCCAGCCAACAGACAAACACCGGCCAGGGAACAAGACACAACGATTCAAAAAGGGTAAGCGACAAGAACCTAGCAATCTAATCTCTAGGAACCTCTAACTATTTGAACCTTTGAAAACCAAAAGGCCCTGCACCTGTGCACAAATTAGGTCATTTCGGAATGTGTGTCACCAATTTTGCGAAGGCGTTTGAATTCTATACTACGCGGTTCAACTTCAAGCCAAGCGATGTTAGTTTCTCCGCGGGTTGGCTCTTCATGAGGCTCGGCGTATACTGACCAAGAGCCATTACCACATGGTCCAGCTGATTCACGATTCTACCGGAAGAGATATAACCACCTTTCTCCATCTGGACCGCGGTTCGGAGATGGTCGATCACCATTGCTTTTTCTTTTTCGAGGGACCTAGGTCGCACGTTCACCACTCATCATTTGAGACGCATGATTTTGACACACAAGTGCTGGGTCACGACTGGCTCCGCAGCAAGGGGTATGAGAACTGCTGGGGCGTTGGACGTCATATCATGGGCAGTCAGATCTTCGATTATTGGTACGCCTCATGATATCATTCTCTCGAAGGTACAATATTGCTAACACACAATTGATCAAAAAGGTTTGACACCTCTCGTTTCATTATCGAGCATTACGTGGATGGTGATTTGGTAAATGACCAACACCCAACGAATCGATCCCTTGCCACACCGGATAATTTGCACGTTTGGGGTAGGTCTTTGAGTATGATGCAATATAGTTCCACTCTTCTAATGTATCACTAGGTCCCGACCTTCCTCCCACCTTCCTGCAGTAGCAACAATCTTAGATCCTTCTCGTCGTCTTATATCCGACACCGTCAGGAAGGTGGAGATTGGTACGTCGCTTAATGTCTTGCTCTTACTACAGTAAGGGAGTAACATTCTCTTCGAGCATATTTATATGATGTGTTGGTTAGACAGCTACGCTTAGACTTCGTTTGAGTCTTTGTCACCATCCATATTCAAAGAGAAATTATTGAGCAGATGACTCTAATTTGTAATTTACTATTGCATCGTGCGATTTTGCTTTTGCAATTAGATTATCGGAAGGCATAATAATACATGTTGCACCTTAATATAGGCCAACACTGGACAAAGATTGGAGTAGAAGCGCTAGCAGCATTAATCCATAAAGAAGCCATCTAGCCCATATAGTTTAGGGAACATGTTACTCGTAGAAAGTGAATTTGGCTTGTTAAGGTTCATCCAGATTGGCAAGAGATGAGAGCATAGCAGTGCCTTTTGCAATCCGCGTTAGTTAGAGCCCTCCCAGCGATAGTACACATTTACCTTTATTCACACTACTAAGATCCGGGCAACCGGTCTGGATACATTGCGATGACTGGAGATCCCCCAAACCCGAGTGTTATTCATGCTGAATCAGTTTATGGCGGGTCTTAATCGCAATGGCTAAATTCCTTTTACCCCCTCAAGCTGCAGGGGATGGTGCCGTTCGAATTCCACGCCGGCAGTCTGGGTTCACTTTCTCGTTCGACTGAAAATTGCACCGAAGATAGTCCGCCCGAATGCATTTGCTGTCTGCCCCCAGACAACCCAAACTGGTCTCATAGTTGATAAACTTCCGAGCGCAAATAGACCGAAATCGTTCCATGTGTCTTTGTAAGGAATTAAATCTTGCAGTGGGGGG